GTTGAAAATCACATGATATCACTTACGTGTGGGATATAAACCTAAAAGCAACAAATAAACAGGACAAACAAACAGAGACTCATAGACATGGACTATAGACTAGTGGTTACCAGAGGGGAAGGGAGAGGGAAGACAGGGAGGTAGACAGGATATAGGGGGTCAAATATGTGGTGACAGAAAGAAATCTAACTATGGGAGGTGAACACAGTGTAAACATATATGCCTACTGTTAAAGTGTACAGCTGAAACTTACTGGATTTCGTTAACCAATGTCACCATAAAAAGTAAATAAATGAATTAAAAAAATAATAATAATAATAAATTGAGGTGTGGATGGGTGTAAAGTTAAAAGGAACAGTTTTTTGTTTTTGTTTTTGTTTTTTTTAAGAATGATGTAAGACTTTCTTTGGAGCCACTTTTTTTTAAGATCTAGTGGTACAGTAATAAATGAGAGTTTGAAATTGGGGTAATTTATGTTTTATATACAGATTTCAGGGCATTTGCTAACTTTGTAGTTTCATGTGATCAGTTTCTATAGGTTGCAAATAATTAAAAATATCAGAAATTGTACCTTTTTAGGAATTGCATATATTTTTAGACACAACTATTAGCACTTTAAGAGGGAAATAAAAAGTTATTGTCTGTTTAAACTGCAAGCAGTTACTCTCTAACTTAACTCCCTATTAACCTAAACTTCTGGCTCCCATGAACAGCCTTACAGAGAAGGGAGTATTATACTGGGAGGAAAATGTTACTGGACTATTGACTGAAAGTAAATTAGATAAAATTAGAATATTGCTTTTTTTCCTAATGGGCATTTGTTTTGTTTCAAGTCATAAACTAGATATTGCGCTGTTCCTATAAGCATTTTTCCCGGATCTTGAAGCAAGTCATAAGGAAGCTGTTTGTTTTAAAATACAAACCACCACCAAAATTTTTAAATGTACACAATACTAAATATTTGGCTGTTTTTACTTTTTTAAAGTAACAAATACCAAAAAAAGCAACATTGTATGAAGATGGAAAATGAGAAAGATATACTTTCTGTAACTTTGTCAAAACATTTAAGTTACTAACTTGTGAAATCTAATTTGATTTTAACTAACTACAATAATTCTTATTTAGTACAATAATATGGTTTAAGTGTATACATATTAACCAATGGCCTCTCAAAAGCACATTTTAGGTACTGAAAATAGAAGGAAATAAGAGTTCATCTTTAAACATTCTATGGAATCTTTGTCCACACCTACTTTGTTAGAGCTTTGTGTTATAGAGTTGGTTTTTTTCTGTAATTTTGTATTGTATATGAATTCTTTTTTAATATGACAATTAAATACATCTTTAAAAGAACAGACATAGATAAAAGAAAAATGCAGTATATTGATTTTCTTCAAAACTCCTACAATGTTATATTTGCAAGCAACTTCAGACCGTCCTAATGGTGTTAACTACTTGCTCAGCTCTTGTAATAGGTAATAACTTCAGAGAAGCAGCTTGTATGTATTCTTACGTTTGTTCACTTATATTTAAGTTTATAGTAAGCCCCAAGTAAAACAATGGAAATGTTTATAGAACTAATAGTTCTTACTTACATGATTTAGTTATATCGAGATACATAAATTTGACTTGCTTTAATGGAGGCAAACTTTTCATTTTTGTCCATTTTACTGTTTATGTTAAAATAACATCACTCTCCTACATATTCTTTTCTTGACTCAAATGAAATATTAACCTAAAGTCAAGATGAGAAAAACAACTGAGATAAATGTCTTTACTAAAATACCAGTAAATTTGTCAAACTCAAAAACAAAGACTAAATTGTAAAGTTAACCTCCAACGACCTAGGCATAAAATTAAAAAAAAAAAAATAGGAAAGATGGAGAAAAAGAGAATGGTGAGTATGTACCAATAGACACATACATATAATAAACAGAAAATATGCAAAGCTACTGTAGCTCTTGTTTCTATAATTGGTCTCAAGGTGTAGTTCTTTAATTACCAATTACAATTTCTCGCACCCTTGGATAAAACCTCAGATGTTCTGGGTTTTTTACTTGGTGGAGTAAAAACTATTCCCCAAAGGTCTGAGTCCTGAATCATTTTGCTTTATTTTTGTTATTATTGTGATAGTTTTCCATTAACTTTTACTATTGTGTGATAGACAGAATAAGGGGCCCACAAAGACACCCACATCCTAGACCTTGGAACATGTGAATATATTGGTACAAGACAAATGGGAATTAAGTTGCTAATCAGCGGATCTTAAAATAGGGAGATTATCCTGGATTATCTGGGTGAACCAACTCTCACTATGGTTCTTAAAAGCAGACGAGAAAGGAATAAGAGGGAGAATCCGATATAGCAGCATGAGGACTCAACCTGACATTACCGGCTTTGAAAATGGGAGAATGAAACCATGAGCCAAGGAATGAGGGCAGCCTCTAGAAGATGGGAAAGATGAGGAAACAGATTGTCTCCTTAGAGCATCCGGAAAGATTTTAGCCCTGCCAACATCTCGATTTTAGCCTAGTGACATCCATCTAGATTCCTGATCTCTAGAACTGTAAAATAATGAACTTGTTATTTTAAGTCATTAAGTTTGTGATAATTTGTTATAGACGGAATAAAAAACTAATACACAGAGTACCAAAGAAAGTTTTTATAGTCATGGATTACCTAGAAACCTGATCCATAAATTAGAGAACGAATTAAAATCCATAATAAATAACAGCCACTGAGTCACTGAAGGATTATTTTAATCTTTTATTTGAAATAATACAACAGGTAGATAATATATAACTACTCATTGTGCATTCAGAATTTCTTCTCACAAGGCAATGATGGGTTCCACCCAATCTGTCCAGGATACATCCTTCCTATCATGGATACTTCAATTGTCTTCTTCACCTTTTGATTTGCCCTATATTTAGAAGTGCTACATACTGAAGTGCAACATATTCAAGATGTATAATACTCTATACTCCACACCGAAAAAATTTGAAATCTCTTGAAACTATTGGCATCTTCATTCTCCTTTCAAAACAAAATAATTTCTCCCTCACTCTAACAAACTCCTGCTTTGATGCCTATGCAACTGGGCTTAAATTTAACTATTCTAGAGGAGTCAAAAGCCCAAGATTGGGAAAGCAAACTGTCACTCTTCTCCTCTAAATATAACTCCAGCCTTATCCTTCAACCACTCCAGCTACTGAAGTACTAAGCAGGCTGAATAAATCTCTCATTATTGAGTTTGCAACACCTTCTTCCATGAGAATGATTAATTCCATCTAAGAAACTCTCCCACAGCTATCTCAGCAATCTTCAGGTCCCATTCAGACCTTCTAGATACAACATATTCTGAAGATAATTCTCAAATTTCGGAATCTGTTTTTTTCCCTTAGAGGGCATTTTCTAATTTCCCCACACCACTAAATTCCAGTTAACCTCTTTAAAGGCCTTTGGGATTAAGAGCATCAACAAGCTCTTGGATTAATACAGCCATACTAAGACCAAACCCTGTACACAAAGGAGGATACCCATGTTGGTAAAGGTAGGACCAAAAATTCAATCCCTCGGGGTGATGTGAGATAGCCTTTAGTACAAGTAATTTGTTAATAACAAAGGTACCAGGCATTTCAGAGTCACTGCCTCAAAGGCAGGAAAAGGCTAGGTTACAGAAATGGTATGTATTTAATTTCAGAAATACTAAATTCCAGAATCACAGGGAGCTCTAAGAGAATATGACCATCCCAGGATCCATGAGGCTTTTACCCAGAAGCAGATCATATTTAGGTGCAATTTTTTTGACATTGTATCTAATCGATAACAAGTAAGACTTTCAAATCCTACAGGTCTACTTTAAAGCATGTATTGCTTACTCACTGAAGGAATAAGGCTACCATGCTACAAGTACAGAGAAGCAAAATAAATATGGAATTAGTCTTATAGTGTTGAATGTAGAGAGCTGTTTAAAGCTTCAATTAAAGTTCTGGTAATCAATGTTCTTTTGAGGCAATGCAAGTGCCCCTCTAAGAAGCCCAAAATTGTTCAGTGGACTAAGATCTCCAAGAAGAGCATGTTAACAAACAGGAACAGTGTGTCAATTTCTTGAGGGCAAATAAACTTCTCCATCCTCAAGGTTTAAGCTTGATTATATGTAGTTATTTTAGCATAGAAGAAAAGAAGGACTTTAGTAAATAATTTGGGGACTTGACCTGGTGTTTAGCTTCCTCTACATATGCCCAAAAGGATTTATAAGTTTCTCTTCATTTACTATTTATTGCCAGGATCCCAGCAACAATTTTTTTTTTATTGCCAGGACCTTGACAAATGTTTTTTTTGTTTGTTTGTTTGCCAGGACTCCAATAATCATTTTTCCATCAACTTGCTGAGTATGATCAGAAAAGTGATTTTTTATGTGTGTGCGTTTTGATATTGACAAGTTTACAAAGGAAAAGCATAATGAATACAAGAAACAAAAAATATAAGTGAACCCCTTTACAAAATATAAGCAATTCAAATGTACAAGAGCAAGGTACACCAAGATATTCTACATGCTATAGCAGAGAAACTATTGGCATCTTCATCTCCTACCTTCTCAAACATCAGAATCTCCATGAATTTGCTTCCCACCCCCCAGAGTTTCTGAATAAGTAGGTCTATCATGGAATCCAAGGATTTGCATTTTTAATAAGTTCCTTCATGCTCCTGATGTTCCTGGTTCAAGGACAACACTTAGAATCTACTGAATTAGAATATGGAAAGCACAATTCTAGTCTAGTAGGAGAGAGGAATGTTTATCAGAGAGAATTGTAGGATTGAGGTGTCTGTATCAGGGTTAGAATGAAGATTTCCCCATAAGTGTTTCTGCTTGAACTTTGACCTGGGTGTTAATTGCCTCTTCATCTTTGGCTGGAGTTCAAAGTTTTCCATCCGTAGAGGAAGTAGTAGCTAGTGAGGCAGTCAAACAGATTTGTGCAACCAGGAGTCTGTTCCTCTTATTTCTTTCGAGAGTTCTCCCCTGCCTTTGTGCTATGAAGCTTGGATTTCTCTTGCCTTTCCAACAGCTCTTCAAAGATTTCATTGTGCATATAAAAGAATATGTACCCGGTGGAAAGCCTAGCCTCTTGCATTGGAGCCTCTTGGATACTTGACACCTGCAGATCATTGTAAGTGAACCAGATTTGCCTCTCAAAGTCATAGGCATCACTGATATAATGGCCTGAATTTGGGGAATTGCCAAGATGGCTGATAACACCAATCAGCCGATAGGCATAATGATCTCCCATCTTGGAATTTCTTTTTGGTTTCTTGGCTACAGGTTCTGTCTTCTCCTTATCTAAAAAGTCATTGTTTCCAAGTTTTTTATTAGAACCCCGTCTACCTAGGGAATTCACATTGGCCTCCTGGTAACTTAATTCTGTAGGTCTTCTGAGATTCTCTGTGTACCGCTGGACATCTGGCTTCAGAAAGCTTTGAAGCAATGCCTGCCGAAGGGCTTGTTCATAGATTCTCATCCTTTCATGTTCAGTTACTTTGGGGGACTCTTCTGAAATTCTGTTTTTTTTATCTTCATGAAAATCTTTAGTAGTCTTAATATCTACAAATATGTTGGTTTTCCCAGATTTCTTTAGTTTTTGATTCCCAGATACTTCTTGAAAATGAACTTCTGCAGGACATGTACCTGGGCTATGAGTGAGTTTACCGGCATCTTCACGGATTACAGAAAGGTTGGTGTCTTCCTGATCCCTCATTAAGCCAGTTGCTGATATCTCTTTTTTAATGGTTGTGTCATATCCTGAGTTTACAAATTTGTATGCTGGTATATTCAGTTTAGAATATTTTCTCAGGCCCTTTTGCTTTTGTTCTCCGCTTGACCCCAACATTTGGCATTTTTGTAGTCCAGACTCTTTGCCTGATCCAATGTGTGAAACGAGGGAATCCTTGGATTCTGAGTCCAACTTTTTTGAAGGTGTCAGTGAACTGAGGATTTCAGAATATATCTTTTGAAAGACCTTTAAGAATTGGAAATTCATAATATGTGCATTCTTGCTCAAGGGAACAGGTGGTTTGGTACTTTCATTGCAATGAGAAGATAACTTTAAATATTTAGAAACAATGACTTCTTGGACATCCTTCTTTAACGACCAAAACTCATTAAAGTAATAGCGTTTCAAGTGAACAATAAGGACCCTGGGTAGTCTACTGAATTTGTGCACTGCAACAGAACTCTCGTGGTTACATTTCCCACATTTATACTCAAGCTCTTCTGCTCCAAAGAAAAGATCAACAGTAGATTGAATAGACAAAGGAAGTGTTTTCTTTCCTTGGGGAAAGTTAGTGGAGAGATAATTACTCACTTCCGACTTGAGAACAACCTCACCACAGGCTTTGCAAATAATAGAGTGCAGCAACTCTAACTCAAAATTAGCGATGACAGGACAAGTGAGCATTTTGGTGGCAGCATTGCCAGCAAAAACCTGTTGGGGTGAATTATCTTTCTCAGATTCAATTTTAGTCTTCCAAATTATGTTTAAATTTTTCATGTTCTCTTTCATCTGATCTAAACAATGACCTAAAAATTCATGAGCATCATTCTGTATGTTGCTAGAGAATATCTCTGCAGCTGTTGAAATGGTTTGTTTAATACTCACAAGTAACTTCTCCTTAATTTTTATGTTGTAAATATCTTTCAAAATAAGCAGCTGTGCCAGGCACATGTTAAGATCATCAAGGGGAATTTTACCCCATGGGAAATCCTGATAGAGTAAATCATATGCAAATGATGGAATCGAAAATAGGGACTGTAAAACTGCATTCATATAACAGGTATTTCCCAAATTGGGGAGGCCTTGCCATAGTTTCTCTGGGTAAGATTCAAAGGACATCTTCAATGTGTCCCACTCTAGGTCATCCTCACTATACATTGTTTTCAACAAAAGTGCCAAATATATTTTCTGAGTGAGAGTTTGGAGAAGAGTAGTACCATCTAGGTTAGGGTTTCCAATAGAATTGGTCTCGAGTAAAGGTCCAAATTCTAATTTCATACTCTCTTTTAATTCCTTTATCCTTAATTCTTCCCTCTCGCTATATCTTACATACCTCAAAGGATTAGACGTCTTTTTTCTTACAGATTCATTCTTTTTCTGGAATTTCTCTTTCATCTCTGAATCTGATGATAGTATCTCTTTTCTCTTCCTCCATTCATTTTGTAATAAATCTTTGCAGGTAAGTGTTGATGATTTTGATGTATGCAAGGGCATCCTCTGAAGGTCAGGTGTTCCACTTCCTTCTCCTATCTCAAAAGGTCTGCTACTTGACTTTTTATGCACTTTGTGAAATGTTTTGTTGACTTCCTTCTGTGTTGTTATGCTGGCAAAGGCATCCCCATCCCTGTCAGATCTCGTGAGTGGTTGAAGATTATTTTGATGAACTCTGTCCAGGAACATCTTCAACTTTACAGCATCTCTTGAGGATAACTTTTTAATAAACAAGAAGCTATTATTTTGGAAAGTTAAATGCAGATGATTTTGTTTTTCTCCATAGGATCTAAAGACCACAGTCTTAATATTGTTACTTAGCTGAAAAGTTATAAATTCTCCAGTGCGGTAGTAGGCTACCAATCTAACTTCCTTCTTTCTTTCCACTGTTTCAATTAATACTTCTTTTGACAAAGACAGCCCAGTCTCCTTGTTCCATATTTGGATAAAACCATGTATCATTCGATCAGCCATGTTTCTTTACAAGTAAAATACACATATCCTGAATTATTGACAATCTCGAAGTTCAGAATTGTTTTTCAAGTTCGCTTCTGGAGACAACACCAAAGAAATGGTTCTTTAGTTCTCTATATAGAATGATCCTGTTTCTAGTGTTGGTTTTATACTAGAGCCTCTTCAGGTTCTGAATATTCAGCTCTTTAGTGATAAGCCAACATCCTTCAAGAACTGTCCATGTTTGCATGAGGACAGAGTCTTGATTCCGAAGGCAAAGTTGCTGCTGAAAGAAATCAAGAAAAAATTACTTAAGCTATCAGAGAAATGCTTGGATAGAACTCAAACTCTACTCCCATATACTAAATCTCCTTTCCACTGTAATACTGGATTAATTCTGTATGAATTTCCCCACTTCAACTGAAATTATTACATACTTGGAAGACTTTCAATACACAGGTGAAGAGCATAATGAATAGTGCTTCAAGTGCATGCATATAATATGCTAATCTTCTGGTCATAGACTAACCCCCAAGGGCAACCACAATAAAGGAATTAAAAAATGGGAGGCACTATGTGGCCCTAAACTCAAAAGCAGATGGATAGCTCATGGTGTGCAGAAATCTAAAGGATTTTATACACAGGCCACAAAAAGTTAATCTACCTCCTTCCAAACCCACTAATGTTCATTTCTTTCATGTGGATCTGAGGGAAGTCCACATGTTCTACCCTATGTGGGGACCTAAACTATCACTACTTAAAGCAGGTATCAAAGAATTGGCTATCTCTAGCTCCCACAAGCCAAGATGACCTCGTATGTTCTAAGCAATCACAATTTTCATAATAAGTGCAGTGTAGTTAATAATTTAAAGCCATGCTGAGCAAGACCATAAATAAACTCATCATAATTTTGAAAAATATGTTAAAATGATCACTGAGGTTCAGTTCAAGATTGTGTTTACTATGTTTTACTACTGAGTAAGTAAACATATAGTATAAAAATGTACAAAAATAGGGTATGATGAGTGGAGAGTTTCCTGTTGGCTCCACTGTTAGCTTCACTGTTCCTATAGAGGCATGCTTAAAAGTCCAAGGTCACTATAATCCATGCAGAGTAAATAATTCTTCAGTTTAAAAAATTTTTAAAAACAAGGGCATGTATCCTTTTGGCTATTATAACGGGCAAAACAAGTCAGCATTCAAGGGTTTATTATTAACATAAATAAATTTTATTTTAAAAAAATTTTATACTTAAATATTTCAATTATAGTTGACATAAAATATTATACTAGTTTCAGGTGTATGACACAGTGATTAGAAATTTATATAACTTACGATGTGGTCACCCCAATAAATCCAGTACCCACCTGACACACTACATAGTTATCGCAATACTACTGACTGTATTCTCCATGCTATACTCTATATCCCCATGACTATTTTGTAACTACCAATTTGTACTTGTAATCCCCTTCCTCCTTCACTCATCCCCAACCCACCACCCGGCAACCATCAAAATGCTCTCTGTATCTATGAGCTTGTTTCTGTTGTTTGTTTATTCTGTTCTCTAGATTCCACGTATAAATGAAATCCTGTGGCATTTGTCTTTCTCTACTTGACTTACTCCACTCAGCATAATACCCTCTAGGTCCATCACATTGCTGCAGATGACAAAATTTCATTCCTTTTTTTATGGCCAAGTAATGTTCCATTGTATATATGTACCACCTCTTCTTTATCCATTCATCCACTGATAAACACCCAGGTTGCCTCCAAATCTTGGCTATAGTAAATAATGCTGAAATGAATATGTGGATCCACATGCCCCTTTGAAGTAGTGTTTTGGGTTTCTTTGGATAAATACCCAGAAATGGGAAAATTGGGTCCATCTCTATATTTTCTTATAGTCTTTTTATTAAAAGTCTACATTGTCTGATATAAGTACTGCTACCTCAGATTTCATTTTTGTTTCCATTTTCATGAAACAATGTTTTCCGCCCCTTTAATTCAGCATGTATGCATCTTTCAATGTGAAGTGAGCCACTTGTAGGCAGCATATGTAAGGGTCTTGTTCTCTTATCCATTCAGCCACCCTGTCTCTTTTTAAAAATTTTTATTATTAGTCTCAAGTATACAGTACATTCTCTTTTTAAAAAAATTTATTATTAGTCTCAAGTATACAGTGCATTGGTTAGACATTTATATAGTTTATAAAACAATCCCCATAATTACTCTTTCTTTCCTCTGGCTCTCCACCTAGCCATTACATTACTGCTAACTGCATCCCCTATTTTATGCTCCCCATCTCTGTGACGATCTATCAACTACTAATTTGTACCTCTTTAACCCTTCACTTCTTTCTCCCAACCATCCAACCTCCCTCCTGTCTGGCCATCACCAGACTGTCTTCCATATTTGGGAGTCTGTTTTTAATTAGTTCGTTCTTTTCATTCCTTAGATTCTGTGTATAAGTGAAATCATATGATATTTATCTTTCTCTGTCTGACATATTTCACTCCACATAATAACCTCAAGGTCCGTCCATGTTGTTGCAAATGGTATAATTTCATTGTTTTAATGGCTGGGCAATATTCCATTGTATATATGAACCATAACTTCTTTATCCAATCATTCTTGATGGGCATTTAGGTTACTTCCATATCTTGGCTATTGTAAATTATGCTGCCATGAACATAGGGGTGTATATTCACAAATTAGTGTTTTGGTTTTCTTTGGATAAATACCCAGAAGTGCAATTCCTGGATCAAAAGGAATATCCATTTTTCATTTTTTTGAGAAACCTCCAGACTGTTTGCCATAGTGACTGTACTGATTTGCAATCCAATCAACAGTGTATAAGAGTTTCCTTTTCTCTACATCTTCACTATCTTCTTTAATTTATTGATTATAGCCATTCTGACAGGTGTGAGGTGATATCTCATTGTGGTTTTAATATTCATTTCTCTGATGATAAGTGACCTTGAGCATCTTTTCTTATGTCTATTGGCCATCAGTCCAATTCTTTATTTAATGCCAACTCCCAGACCTGAACACGCCTAAACACAAGTATAAAGTAATAGAAGATAAACCCTACATGAAAGGCATTAGAAATTACAAATTTAGGATATTCCTTTTACACAGCATTTTACCTCCCAAATATCTAGTGGCTATTCAAGTTTCATCTCTTCTGTATTTCTAAAAGCTGAAACATATTTAGCTTACCTGGATTTTAGTTCCATCAGTTATGTCTGCC